TTAACAGTGAACGGGGCTAATTCACAGCAGCTGCTCTCCTCCACCCACATGCTGTTATTGCTGTACAAGTAGACCTCTGAGAGCTGGGCACACTTAGCTACACAAACATTAGTATTAACGATTGGGCTGCCAGTATTGAATTGGTGACAAACTGCAGATGGGCAAAAATTGGAGTCCGAAACCAATCAGGAAGTTAATGAGGAGAAAAATTACTCCTCTTCTCCCCTCCCACCTCCACAACTGCTGAGGAGGAGAGAGGGAGATGTGGTGGAGGGTGAGGGATGAGGAAGCATGAGGGAGGCAAATGAAGAAGTCAAAGGATTCTGGGAAACACTGGGCATCAGCTCTTGCTTATTTTTAATGTTGTCCTCATGAGGAGGTTAGTTTGAGTAATCAGATTTATGTCGCAGACAGTCCAACATAATCAGCTCATTTAAAATGCAGGTAAATTAAAATATTTTAGGCTTTGACTGGAGCACAATTAAACATTTCTCCTTTTAAAAAACTGAAGATCATGGGTAAATTTTTTTTTTTTTTTTTGGTGAGAAAATGCAACCTAAACTCTTCCCCTCTATGGGGACTCCGGTGTCCTCGGCCGACATTACTGTGTTAAAGAGGCTAACGTGGGCTTGAGAATGAACATACTGCTATTATGAAACTAGAAGACCTGAGGAATTCATTGGTACCAACCATGTAGTGTTAGTTTTTCAGGAGGAAGGTTAAATATTGTTTCAGATTTAGGCAAAAGGAAGGGAATAACTGGCATGGCCATTTTCAGAGGAGTCCCTTGAGCTCTCACCTCAAGATACCTGATGAAAATGTGCTCTATATGTACCCCAGAGACTCCTTTACGCCTATTGTACTTGAATATATCTGCATACTAGGGCCCCTAAACAGTCTTAGAATTGCATAATTTGGGTATGACTGGAAATCTGAAACTCTTGTGGATTCAATGAGCCCAATTTATTCATATATGATGATGTTAGCCCTCATAGTAGCCATGTCATTGTAGTAAGACCATTTTGAAACAGACCTTACTGTATTAAATGACCTATTTTGACCTTTAGGATAATCATAGCTTCAGGAAACTTTACAACCATACACTAGAGTCCCTGGGCACTCAGAGGATGTGTAGCTTTCATAGGTATACTGACAACAAGGGGGTTTCTTAGCAGTTGACTGATCATCAAAAAACACAGTTCTTATAGAAATCTCCAAATGTCAAAGGTTTTTGATACCTTGGTGTACCTATGGTCTTCCTCAAGGTCTTGGTGTTTTAATAGAGGATTTTGGAGGGATTTTTGATTATCTTTATGAATTCTTAAGTGGTAAAAGTACTTAAATTTAACACTAAGTTTGTGCAACAAATGGTATCAACCCAAAAAATGCTGCAAAATCTTGGTAAGAAGATATACTTTATTAATCCTTGACTTTACTTTGTCGTCATACACACACAGGCCTGAAATACACACACACGCACAAACAGGACCTATACATGCATTAAATGGAGAGATGTCAGAGCGAGGGGGCTGCCTTGGACAGGTGCACCGAGCAGTTGGGGGCTCAGTGCCCTGCTCAAGGCAGTGCCCAGTTGGCAAACTGGTTCTCCAGCTACCAGTTCGCACTCCATATTTGGTCCAGACGGGATCTTGAGCTGGCGACCCTCCGGTTCCAAACCCAAGTCCCTATGGACTGAGCTACTGCCGCCCCATTAGGGGCCACACACATGCTGCGTCTTTAACCGCTTGGAAAACGCAAGGTTGGGCACTGGGTGCTACTTTTCAAGAGCGCGGTGGCAGGTTGCGTCTTAGCTTGCTAAGCAACCTCAATAAGCACAGTACCATAGCCCGTTTACCTGAAATCCTGCGTGCAGAGCTGATCTTCTTCCAGGAGCTGTTTATAAGTGTGTAGGCCTATCGTCCGTGGGACAGATGTAAAGCTCTGGCAGCCATGCACTAACATGATCAACTTTTCCTCCATATTTACTAGGGATGCACTGAATATTCGGTAACCGAATATATTCGGCCGAATATTGCAAAAAAACACACATTCAGTATTTGGTGGAATAAGTTAAAAGCAAGGCCGAATAATAGTGGCGTGTTGTGATAACGCAATCAAACAGCATATCGTGACGGGCGGAGTAAAATGTCGGCAGTGTGGCGATCCACCCGTCACGGCACTCGCATTTGCGACTAAAAATAGTTTTGAGCGAGCAAAATAGGCTTAAATCATTCAGCACGCTGTGCGAGCAGCCTACAGATTTCAACCACCAGCAGAAACGAAAGGCGAATCCCACCGCTTGTGGGTTGAATGGGGGTCACAGACACAGACAGTAATGTATTCCTGTCAATTATGGCGGCCATCAGCTTACCGGCGACGGAGAAGTCGGCTCCAATAATATCCTCTTCTTGGTGTCATGACTGCCCAAAAGTACCTGAACAGCTGAGCCAGCCGAACACGGCCCACAAACCTCACCGCACTTTAGGGACTGTTCTTTACTTGTCAGAGGAGGAGGGTGGCTGGTTGATTCTTATTTTATTTATTTATTTTATTTTGATCCCCCCTATGTTAATCACTTATTGATGCTGTTTTTGAAGTATGAATAAGTCAGTAAGTAATTTATTCCATTGAAATATCATTGATGTATTATAGAAAAGTGATTTATCTTTTTATAAATGACAAAACGCACATCTGCCTCATTTTCGCTGTGGTATCGTGATACTACTCAGAACCATGATATTTTCATTGGTATCGTACAGTGGGTCTCAATTTTGGTACCATGACAACACTAATCTGGAGGGGGTTCATCTGCAAAAACTAATGAAAAACTAAACAATGATATTCGGTATTCGGTACTCGGTATTCGGTCAAGCGTTTAATATTATTCAGCTTCAGCTTCGGCCACAAATTTTCATTTTGGTGCATCCCTAATATTTACCACAGACTGAATATTTACAGAAGAAGGGAAAGATATCTGTCGGCTGGGATTGGTTGTTCCTCGTCACATGACATGTGGTGCGCTCTGCTGCCTTCCAAAAGTTAAACTCACGCCATCGTGACCTGAAAAATGGGCGTTTGGGAACGCGTGTGCGCTGCTCCAGCGTTTCTCTGGCATTGAGCACGCTTGCCGTGCATCTACATTAAAAACAATTCATTTGAGGGCGCAAAAAACACGGCATGCGTACGGCCCCTTAGAGACAAAACTGAGCATGGAATGGTCCTACACTTCCATCATAATTTTCTAAGCCCTTATTTATACACTCTAAACATGAAAAGTTGGAATGGGGGCCTAACTGAAATACAATGTTTACTACATTTGTATGACAAAAACTTGACACACAGTACTGAGTTCCCCCTAAAAAAAAACCCTGTCCCTTCTAAAAAGAACAATAATGGGTCTGTGGTCAGGAGGGGTGGAGTGGAGGAGGTTAAAACATAGTTTCCTTATTTATTTTCTATTTTCTTTTCAATGATTCAACTCTCCTTTTCAAAACCAGTATGTTTATCTTTCTAATGATCAGGGCTACAACGAATGACTGTTTTCAAGTTAATCTGCCATCAAAATTGTGTTCAATCAGTCAATCAACCGACTGCCTCAGAGTTTCTTCACAGATAAGTATCATGTACCATGGCTTAATCAAGGTCATCAGGATAAAATAATAACAAAAAGAGCCACAACAGTTATGAACTGCCTGTACAAACACTGTGTTAACCAGCCTAAAGTCGACTGTCCTCACAGTGTTGTTAGTGTGTGTGCAGTAGCTGTAGGCTTAGTGTTAAAATGGGTGGCTGCACATACAGTAGCTCTCTTGTAAACTGTAAAAGATCTTTTGTTTTGTGTTTGGTGTCTTCCCTTTTTTGCTGACTGATTCAATTTGCTATAAATCCTGAAGAATCATTTTACTGCTCAGTCATATTTATATCAGGTGAACAACGTGGAGAGGACCATTTATTCTGCAGCGCTGATGATACGACTTTTCTCTGTCTCACTACAGTATTTCTCTTCTCCTTTTTATTTACTCACCCTACACTACCAAGTACAACATTTTTTTATTTTATGCCTTCTACCTACACAAGGCAATATGAATTTATCATATTAATGACTTTGAGGAGTATCCAAGAAAAAGATTTGTTGCTCAGTACCTGAAACATACTTTACTGTAGTGGGACAACAATTGAATGTGTTTTACTCATGATACTGATAAGCAAAGCAGCAGTTGTATCTGAGATATTTTAGCTTTGCTTTTGTACAGTGGGAGGAAGTGGAGACGCATCATCCATTTTTGTATACAGTCACTGATGTATACTTGTCAAAAGCGGTCATATTTGATGGTGGACAGAAAAGCTTGTCACCTAAAGGTGCATTTTTTATGTGCATTTGCAATTTGCATTTAAAAACAGCTGAACAGCTGATATATTGGTAAATGTTTTTACGCTTGATTGAGGTGGAAAATTTGGTGTATCGTTAAAAACAAAATGCGACAAAATCCACTGGAAACAAACTTAGCCAAAAATGACTAATTGTTTTTTTTACCATTTGAGGTTTGACTGTCGCTCTTTTGATTACGTCTTCTTCTGCACATGACCTCAGAATTAGCGCCACCAACTATTTATCTCAATGTTCTTCTCTTGTAATCTTTGCATATCAATAGCAAATGGAAACGTGCATTAACTCTCATTTTCTTTTGACGATTTTCTGTAAATTCGGCTAAAATCTGTGTAACATTTGGATGGAAAACAATTAACTGAGACAGGTGTGACATACTGAATCATTTAAAATGGGAGAAGCACACTTCAGACTATCCTCAAAGAGGTTGATGTCACTGTACTTGGCTGTTTACATGAAAATTGACAGAAGTAGTTACCTACCTACTTTCACACCTTCACATACACACCTGTCCAGTCACTGTGTGAGGTAGCCATGACTGTTGGGTCGTCTGTCCGCTGGCGTCCTCAGTGGATCTCTGACCAGAACTCTCTTGTCTGTCTCGTCCCTGCAGCTTTCTCACCCAGCAGCATCCCCACTGGTCACGACCCCACCTTGACCTGCAGGTCCATCAGCTCCCTGGTTAACTCTGATGTCAACGGTCAGTGCGAGGCTGCCAGCGAGACACCAAACTTCACCGTCAACTCCATCATCGAGGGTGACGCCACCAAATGAATAAAACGAAGGTTACTTCACACGAAAAACATATTCTGACATCAGTTGAGCAAAAAACTGTTGCTGCAGGTTTCTTTGTTTCAGGAGGCACAATGATGCGTTTTCTGTGCCTTAGTTGAAACGACAGGCTGTTTTCGTATTTTAGCTCATTTTTATCTGTTAATGTTGTGTTGAAGTCAGTTCACCAGTGTACAATGTGCTTGGAAAGTTTAAAAAAAACAACTCAAATAACAACATGCCAAAACTTGACTTGAGAAGCCCTCTCTAAAAGATAAAGATGACTAAACCTACTATAAGTAAGTCTATCGATTATCAGTAACAATCAAACAAACACGTTTTTAGAAACAGATGGGATGCTGTTGTGTATTTGTAAAGTTGTGCACTTTTTTTTTCATTTTCACAAAGTAAAACAGTGAAGTGACGCCACATGTGGAATAACGATATTAAATTATGCTTTCTAGAGTACAGTAAAACTGATCAGTGCAGTTTTCACACAGTATGATTTGTTAGATATTAGTGGACGATCTTTTGACAATCAGAATATATGCTTAGTGTTTGCTAAGACATATTTTTGAGTTGGAATCAGTATTACTTTACATCTCAAGCACTTATTTAGAAGATGTCAGAGGAGAAATTTGGCCAGTGTAATTGTATTCATATGTTCTGTGGTCCAGTAAACTAATAAAGATGTCAATTTTCTTTTGATGTTAAAGAGTAGCTCGACACCAGGCTGAAAAGCAGCATTACACTGCTGTCTTTGGTTCAAAGTTTTAAGTGTGTTTCACCTGTATAACTGCACCCAAAAGTGATGTCACGGTGCACCGACACACCCTGGAGTACACCTCAGTATCACTGCAACAGGGTGAAAAGTTTAACCACTTGAGGTCAACAAAAAGAAAGACTTGTTAAGAGGTGTTAAGTTGGCTTGGGTGACATCTATTTTTCTTACTTTCCTGAAATTTCACTGGGGTATACAGTATATTACGTATTAGTCCACCCCCCACTCCCCCAGCCAGCGAGTCCCCCACGTTCAGCAAACTCTCTTAGCTTTTTCAGTCTCATAAATAAACAGTACAAACTACTTAAACAAAAAAAAAAGTTAAAATATGCTGTTTTCCCTGCCGACTCTCACTCTCTGCTGATTCTGGCTGGCTGTTTACAGTCCTGTAACCTTATCCCCACCACTTTCTGTTGCGGCGTCTGTCAGCTCAGGCCCCACCAGTAGAGATCAGAGACTGACCTTGGGTGTGGGCTGATGTGCACTACATACAATGAGTTTAGAGAGAGGAGCACTTGTATTTTTGACAGTATTGAAAATCATACCATCTGGGTTTCTAAATACCCTGCTATACCATAATACCATAATACTGTGATACTGCCCAAGCCCAGTATTACGTTACTCATAATAGTTGTTTAACAGTATTCAAATGACTATAACTTCACTGACAACATTTACATGCATATAATATTCTGGTTTTTGTCCTTATTCCAAAAAAGACAATATTCCCACTAGGCTGTCCAATAAAAATTAATATTCCATTTTTCGCATTTTTTGCACCCCCAATTTCAGTGTTTTCAATGTAGGCACGCAGCAGACGCATTTAAACACCAGAGTGGCGCTGTGGCAGTGTGCATACGTTCCCAAGCGCCTGTTTTTCAGGGCGAGACAGCTGCGCCTCGAGATAACCCGAGTTCAACTTTTAGAACGCAGCAGCACGCACCGCATGTCACGTGGCGAGGAACAACCAGTCACAGCCAACAGATATCTTTCCCTTCTTTCGTAAATATCAGTCTGTGGTAAATATGGCTGCCAGAGCTTCACATCTGTCCCACGGACGATAGGCCTATACCAGCACCTGGAAGAAGATCAACTCTGCACTCAGGATTCCGGGTAAATAGGCCCAGACACGGTGCTTGTTAACGTAGCTTAGCAAGCTGGGGCGCAACCTGCCACCGTGCTCTTGGCTCAAAAAAGGCACAAGAGTAGTAGCCAGCGCCCAACCTCACATTTTCCAGGCTGTTAAAGACGGGACATGGGTACAGCCCCTAATATTCCCACTTACATGCAGCTGTGCATATGAGTATCATCATTTCAAAATATGGAAAAGTTAAACAGCTGGAGCTGCTTGCGCCATTTCCCTTCTTTGCATCGGATTTATTTTAGTTTTCTATTGGTGGCAGACCTGTTGGACTATACAAACAAAGCCTCCCTCGTTCAGTCCTTCAACCACCTTCTTAAAAGGTCAGCGCTGCAATATTTGCTCATATCCAAAAACCTGTTGATATCCAAGTTTTTCGTAATGTTTTAAAGTAGGTGTGTTTCTTCTTCTTTAGGGTAGGCATTCCTACCTCACAGCCTTGCAAACTGTTGGGTATTTGCTGACAGCTGACTGTAAACGGACAGAAGACTGCGTTGCAGACTACAGTAAAAAACCCAGATGAGATGCATATTCTGAATGCCCTGTATTGATGGCCAAAGAATGCTTCTCATCATATCCCACATGTCTCAATTGTATAATGCTTTATTCGGAAAAAGGCCTAAGTCGGAATATCAAACGAGAACATGCTGCTTACATGACCCATATCAGATTCAAAATATTGTCATACTTGGAATAAAGGCAGAGTATTAGTGTGTGTGTAAATGTAGTGAATGTGAAATGCTGTTTAAACAATGTTCATGAGTTACTTAGATTTCATTAAAAATACAGCCTGACAGATGCTGAATTTACAAGGCTGAATATTGATATTTTAGTTTAAAATTCTCAGTAACGTAATTTTTGTCATACACATTATAGATTTTCTTACATTTGTTTTTTAAAGAATTGTGACCAAGTTATGTAGTGACTGGGATATTTTATCAGACATTACATAAAGTGTCCTGGTTGACATATACACCAATACGAGTATATCTGCAATATAAAACTCTTAATACATATTGTGCCCAGATTTATACCTAGACATCAGTTGATTTTTGAAAAGATGCTAAAACTGTTTGAGTTTAGAGGAGAAAACATCTCTGACAGAGACGCTGAGCTTCTCCTGCAGGACACCGTGCGACTGGAGGGTTAGCGGAGAGAGCAGGCGGGTTAGACATGAATCATGTTTCCCTCCGTTGCGTTGGCATGTGATGAGCACCGGCTGCTTATTTATGGCAGCGATCCAGCGGCATCGTTTATTCCACTGAATTTGCATGTCTATTGTATATTTAACCCCTTCAGGCTCAGTTTTGTTAGCTATGCACACGGGTTACTGTTTACACACTTTGGTACGGCCTTGTAGATGCAGCAGAGGCTGAGGAGCTGGATATGTAGCAGCAGTGGCAGGAGCTGAAACATGTAGTTGAGTAATTGATGAGTTGATCCAGAAAAGCAGCCATTCTGATCATCTGATTAGGCAAAAATGCTGCACATTTAATGGTTTTACGCTCTCAAATTTTAGTATTTGCTGATTTGACTTGTCTTGATGTGAAGTAAACAGAATATGTTTGGGTTTTGGACTGTTGGCATGTCACCTTAAGATCTGGAAAACTGCCTTTTGTAATGTTATTCAATAAAACAACAGTACAGATAATTGTTAGGTGTGTTTTTTTTGACAGATTAAAACCTAGTCACAGTGTGTTTGTGTGAGTAATTACCCCCAAACAAAGTCATTCTTTATTTCATGAACTAATGAAAGTAATCCTGTATTGCCCATTTGTTTAAGTGTTAATTAAAAAGAACAACTCGGATGATATTTTGCCAACTTTTCTCCCTTTGTGAAGCTGACTAGTGCACTACTGTACCGCATATTGTTGATGTGTTCTGTGTTTTATGGAGATTAATTTCCAACTGCATGCTTTGAAAGTGTTTATTTGTGTTTGTGTTTGAATAAGACAGCAACAAAAGTAATTTGGAGTCTTGGAGTTTATGTCGCTACAAGTTTTAGGGGAATAAAAACGCTCTGAAGTGATGGAGTGTAAATGTGATGCTGGAAACAACAATATAAAACAGACAAAGAAAATTACTTGTATTTTCTTTCTGCTGCGCTGTGGGAACATTCATTGGATTCTGCCCCATCTGTTGTAATCAATAACGTGACCATCTTGTTTTTTTATGAAACGCACTTACTCTTAATTTCATCCACCAGTGGTTTTAGAGAGAAGAATGTGGAGTTACCTATAAGGCTTTGACATTATAAATCACCTCTTGAGACCAGATTGTACAGCAGTATCGATTGATCCTGATATATCACAGAAATTTACTGTCACTTCTGTTTTCAATTAAAGATACAATCAGTCAGATAATGACTTAATTGGATTTTACAGAAGATTGAGTTTTATTGCCCCGTGCTTTACGAGTTTAGTTAAGGAAGGCCATTTTATCACGGTTGTCAGGGGCGACCGGCTGCCGCTTGCCTTGTCCTTCTGTAGCTGCTGCTGCTGCCCCGGTGTACAGCGCAGGGGAGAAAGTGTCACAGGATTGGTTTTCCTTGAGCTGCCTCTGCCTCCATGAATCATGCCCTCCCCATAATAGATAAAATCTGCTCGGATCCCACCATGACACCTTCGGGTGGAGTAATGGCTGCTGGATACAGACAGTGTTGGAAGAGGACGCAGTGAGCTCAGAGGTGCAGAGAGAAACTTAGATTTTATGTTCAAATATGAGGATGCAACTCTCGTACCCCTTTTCCACAAACATGGAACCAGTTCAGTGCTGGTTCCTGCACCTAATTTTGAACCATTGCGAGTGTTTCGACTAAAATAAAATTCACTCAGAACCCAAAAAGTTCTCAACTGGAACCGAAACATTGTGGGGAAATTGTCAGACAAAAAAGAGCGTGCAGTGGTCATAGTTGGTTCATGCTTGTTTTTGTAATGACAGAACAAAAGTTTGCAGGTAATCAGTGTAGACTGCAATTTTGTTACCACTGTTAACTTCTGTCGTGCAACGCCCTCCGTTGATGATGCATCCTTGATTACAATGGTTCCGTGCAAAACTTTTGGAAACGTAGGCTGGTTTGCT